AAGGAGGGGAAGCCATGGCTGAGCTGGTCCTAAGTAGCATGTGGCTCAGCTGCCACTTTTCTTCGCTGGTGCCAACCTGCCCGGGCCCATCCTGGCCCGAGCAGAAGACAGACAAACCGGCCCAGCTGCTGCTTCCCCGTGTGCTGCTCAGGACTGGCTTGGCCAAGCCTGGAGGGCACTGGTGAGGAGAAGTGGTGGTTGAGCTGTGTGCCACTTAGGCCAGGCCAGGCCAGGCCAGGCCAGGCCAGTCCTGAGCAGCACTCTGCTCAACCGACAGTCTCCTCTTCTCCTCACTGGTGCCAACCCAACCGGGCCCATCCCATCCTATCCTGAGCTGCACACAGCAAAGCCGGCCCAGCCGCTGCTTTGTCACGTGCTGCTCAAGATGAGATGGACCCGGCCAGGCCAGCACCAGTGAGGAGAAGCAGCTAAGTGGCATGTGCTCACGCTACTCCCCATGCTCCCCCGCTGCAGCAGCTTCCCTCCACCCCCCACCTGCTTCCAGCCTGGTCCTGGAAGCACCACGGGGCTCCCGGCCACTCAGCTGTTCCAGCATCCATTCCCCACCCCCCCCATGTCCAATCTTACATTACTTTCCACTTGGACTGGGGGGGGGACGGACACCACTCCAGGGTCGCAAGGCCAGAAACCACACAGGTTTGGGGCGGGGGTGGAGTCAGGCTTGCCTTACTGCTCAGCAACAGGCTCCTGCTGGGTCCTACTGCCTCTGTCTGCCTGTCACCTTTGACAGACAGTAAGCGGCAGATAAAAATTAATTTTCTAAAGTTTTGAGGCCCCACAGGCCATACAGAATGGGCAGCTGGCTGGATCCGGCCCGTGGGCCATATTTTGCCCATCCTTGCTCTAGAGTAATCTTACTGCCTTAACTTACAACTTCAGTACCTTTGATATGAATTTACTTTCTTTCTTTGAGGGATATGGAAAAACATAGCTAGTACCAACTATAAATCAGCAGCACTTTGCACCTGCCACAAACTAGGGCATTAACTAATAATTAATTACCTAATTGAGATGACAAAATAGTCTGGTAAATAGAAAACATTATAACAACGCCTTACTTGCATGAGAATAAGATTAGCAAACTTCAAAAAGATCAATTAAACCAACTAACACAACTGTCTGAAGTTTAATATATATTTATTATGTAACTTCATTTCCAGTCTATTTGCAAGTTTCTTCACACCACTTTGAACTATGGACCATGCATTTTTTTCAATGTTTCCATAGCCTTTCACCTTTCTGTCACAATGTCAATCCCTACATACCCAGATTCATTCCTACTTCCACCATACCAATGTTCAAATATTCTTGCCCTCAAATCTCACACCTAAAACTATTCTTTGCCAAACTCCCAGTCACCACTTTCTAAACTCTCATCTATGCCCACAAACCGTTCAGATTTCAAAGAGCAAAACCAGTGCAATGAGCAGAATATGACTACCACAGCAGGTTTCACTGCAGGCACACCACATTCCAGGAGGAACATATCTGTTCACCTTGGTGTAACACTTTGGAAGTGAGACAGATTGCATGTTGTGACTGATGCTGCAAATAAGGCAGATTTTCTGCCACATTAACAAATGAATAGGTAGCAGAGTTCTTACAGTTTGTCCTCTGCAGACAACAGCTGTTTAATACAGACAGCAAATCCTTGGCAGACAACAAGTATTCCGTTGACAGCCAGATAATAGGAAACACTGCATACACATCAGATTTGTTATATGCAGGTTTCTGCCCCGTCACAACTTATTTCTAAGCTACCTTGTTGTCACACAATACTCTGGCTATACTTGGTTTCAAGAATTATGAATAAAAAAGCGAACTTTTTCTGTAACAGAAATACAGCTTGTCATTTAAAACAGAAATGTAGGCTTCAGGTAAAGAGGCAATTTAAACCTGTGCTTTCCTTTCTTTTTCCCACCCTCCTCCCCACTTCGGTTTTTCACCTAAAATTTGAGTCAAAATGCTTCTTACTCCACAAAATTTGTGTTTTGCTTTTAGATGTCCCTTACTGGATTTCAGGTATTGTTCAAAACCTGTTGGTTCCCTGTATCTAACTCCACCAATATACTCCACAAGTACATCACATACTAGTATTTAACTCTAACAGTAGAAACTTTTTGATCAACTATCAAACATATTTGAAGTAGGAATAGTCTGCTTTTGTTTTAAGCATTTAGCTTTTAATTTTATCTTTAAAATGGATAAACTAAGCTTTTAGCCTGTTGAGCATTTTTGTTCAATATTAGAATTATTTATATAATGGCTTTAATTTAACTAAACTTGGAATAAACTTCTCTGATTGAGCCCACTCTTCTAGTGTCACAGGCAACTGTCACATTATGTCATGCTATATAGTTGTAGTTTGTAACGCAACTTGGGAAAAACTGCCTGAACAGAAGTATTCAGAGTACTGCAGCCAATACTAAAACTCCAAGCAACTTAACATTCTAGCAGTTTATGGCTCTCAACACTTACTTTCTTCTCTTTGTCTTTTTAACAAGGCATTTAGCAGAATTTACAGATGTGCTGGAATCTGACAGGGCTGCTCCATGAGCGCTTCTGCTGTGGCCTTAAAATCTGCACGCTCTGGGCTGTCAACCATGCACCTTAGTACCTGCACCACCCCAGCCCCAGCTGATCTGCTTGAACTGTATTCCAAATGGCTAGCTAATGTCAAACTAAAGCACAGCCAATGACTAAAAGGCTACTAAACACAAACTAATAATCTGCTTTAAAATAATTTTAACTTGAAACAGTAGGGACCTAATGGGTCATACACTTCATCTTGCTGTACTATAGAAATGTCATTATTTCCAAGGCAGAACCTACTAAGTGGCTCTACTATGGCTTTGAATAACTCTAGAGACTATTTAAAAAAAGGTGTTACTTGACTGCTTGTTTCTTTACTGTATTGTTTTAGGGCTGAATCTCAAATCCAGGTATTTGGTTAGTCTGTGCCAGAAATTCCTGCAGACAACTCACCAGCCTTTAGGTCACAGAGCAAAGCTGGAAAGCAACAATGCAGGGGATATGTGGACTATCCAGCATTACCACTGCAGAGGAAATTGGGTGATGGAGATGCTGACATATGTCTGCTCACCTGAGCATTAGGGCAGTGGTTTTCAACCTTTTTTGTACCAGGACCCACTTGTCAACGTCAAAGGTCAACCCACTGCCCCCCATGTGGGTTAGGAGGGGGAAGGCATGGGCAGCCCCAAGCAGCCCCTTGCAGGCTGGAACTGTGGTTTCCCACATTTTTCTCCTTTAAAAGGAGAAACCATTTTTTGAAGTTCACTGATCCATTTTTAAAGTTTGTTTGCAACTCTTTCATATATTCTTGCGACCCACTTTTGGGTCACAACCCACAAGTTGAGAAACACTGCATTAGGGGGTAGGCAGCTCCCACAATAAAGTAGAGCCTCATGTTAACTAGGCAAAACACACCATCTTTCATAGTTGGTAGGGTCAGAAGGGACTTAAGCAGATCATCTAGTCCCACCCCCTGCCATGGGCAGGAAAGGATGCTGGGGTCAGATGACCCCAGCTTGGTGGCCGTCTAGCCCCTTTTGAAGACCAGTATATCCCTCCACACCTTTGAAATAGGAACAGGATCTGGCTCTCTCAAGTCTACCTACACTTTGTTTCTTGGTCTCTCTTCAGAGTCCTCTCTCCTAATTATCCATAAATTAATTTATGAGAAAGCCATGTAGTATTGGACCCAGGGTTAGAACTTTTTAGATACCCCTAGATACACATAGGCATTCCATCAAATCTGGGTATCATTTTCATCTGAAACTATCATGAAGTATAACTGAGTGCTCTACTGAAGTTATTATCTTGCAGTTTTGCTCAACATCTTCATAAGCCTCCTGGTTCCACTAATATTCATTCTGTTTTCAAAAAGCTACTTACTCTCAACCAGCTAGTGAAGTCATTAATATCCAGAGTAGAGTTCCAAACCATCCTTTAGAAACTTAAGTAAGACTAAGTGATCTATCTGAAAAACGATGTATGGACACAGCAATTTAACTGGAGGGAGATGCATGCATGGGGACCTACCTAAATTGCAGTGCAAGTCTGCAGTGCAGCAGTGCCCTTAGTTTTGTTCCCCCCAAAGGCCAAGGCAAATATTACGGCATTAATTATCTCTCAGCCACTCAGTGGTTGCTAGGGGTGGGGAAATGGCGGCTGTTAACAAGCAACATTAAAGGCACCACTAATTTTCACTGCAATTTAGGAAAGGCTCGCTCTATGCATGCATGTTTTCCTCAAATCTGGCTACTGTCAATAAAGCTACCTGGCAAGCCAAAAGCTTTAGGAAAAATGTGGTGTGCCTACTGTACCCCTCCCTACTTAGTTCTCCAATCAGTTGGGGTTGAACTGCATTTGGTTTCATTTGAACATCTTATTATGGAAGCATACTGAAACAGATCTAAATAGTGATCTAGAGTCTTGATGAAAAGGAACTTCCAAAACAGTGATTTTCAACCAAGGTGTCATCACACCTTGAGTTGCCATGAGATCTTTTTTCAAAGGTACTGCATGATATTAGTACTACTAGGCATGCAAACACCAACACAACTCACAAGACAGACCCAGAGACTTCAAACAGGAATCCATAGTATCAAAATTTTCTGATCAGTCATGGTCTTTTTGTAGCAGGAAAATTAGTAGTTTTCTGTATTAAAAAAGTGAGCCACTTTCAGAAGAGGAAAGTGGGGCGGTCTTGATTTTGTTGAGAAGAGTTCTAGAAATAGCTTTCAACTGACAACTACACCTTTTAAGTATTCAACAGTACTTTGACCACTTCCAATATGTTGAAGAAAGGCTAATGGGAACATAGTTAAATAGGATGAATGAATGAGTGAATGAATGAATGAGTGAATTTCAAAAACTAGAGAAAAATAAATTTTCACATGCTACTGAAATTAAAAACAAACAAACAAACAAACAAAAAACGCAAGTATAGTACTCACTTATTCTCAGAATCAGCAGGCGGATGTTCCTCTCCTTCTGGCGTTTCCTCGGTTACATTTGACTGATCCAGGTCACTGAAATTAAAAGATTTTTTTCCCCCTCAGCCAGCATTAAAAAGTTTAACACCACCAAGAGATTACTACTTGGAACTTAGTTCTCCATTGTTATGGGGTCTACTCTACCTTTTTTCACAATTTTAGAAAAATATTTTGTGACTTTCAGGGCAACTACCTCAATTTATTGCAGAATTTTCCCCAAATCCCATGCTGCTCCTAATAGTTGAGCCCTATTTTACAACTGAGATGCTTCCTAAAACACAAAACTAAAACACAATTCTATCACTAAACACTTAAAGTCAAAGTTACACTACCAAAAAGCTACTTGCAAACTTTGATGGAAATATGATGCATTTAGAAAGCATTTAGATGCTGTTTTCACTTTGACAACCCCTCCCCACAAAAACAAAGAGCGTGCACAACCAGAAGTAGCACGTTCCAAGGCAATTATGTCTATGTTTCATAAATGCTGGAAGCAGCATTTATATTTTAATTTTTCTAAGAAATTTCAAGAAATCAGAGATTACTAACGTTAGCTCATCTTTGACGGTTCCCCAGTTGTGTGATCCACTGCCACCACGCTTGTCCTCATGCTTTAGGCCACTGAAATGTGAATGTGAAAGAGAACTAACAAAACTGAGTTAACATAATAGTGTCTGGATACAGATATTCAAAAGGCAAATTAAGAAATATGTTCATTTTAAAGAGTAATGAAATGAAACACAAAAGTGTAAAGACTTACGATCTATCACTTCCACTATGCCTGTCAAATTCACGTTTGCCACGAGAGTCAAATCCATCTCCTCTGCCCATGCCACGACCACGTCCACGTCCTCTTCCACCTAGACCACCACGACCACGCATAGGTCGGTCAAGAATGGGTCTACCATAGAACAGAAAATATTAAAATATTCTACTTCTAAAAGTTTTAAGAAACAGCTTTTACAATCAAGGTTTTAAATGCATACTCTAAAACTAAATACCAAAAAAAAGAATAAAGTCCCAAGACCAAATTTATTTTGTGATTAAAATGACAAGCTTTACATAGTTGGACTTAAATCCTGAAAGTGTTTTTAAAAGGTATCAACTGCTTGTTTCCATGACATTTAATTATTAACCATTTAAAAAAAATAATTAAAACTATCACAAAGACGCCATTATTTTTTCTATTCATCAGCAATCGTATTTTTCCCCAGCTTACTTCTTTAAGGAAAAACAAAGTAATACCCTAGAGCTTCACATTAAGAGCACATGACATTCACTGGGTGATTTGGGCCATGTCTACATGCAAAATTTTACTGAATTAATACCAACTTTAAAACCATTTTAAATTAGATGCGTGTAACCTCCAGAAGGATTACCCTTCTGTTGGTTTACAAGTGGCTGTATAGGTAAAGCAATGTGGCAACTTATAGGAAGCATCAATGACCAAGTTAATCCAGGGCTGTTCAAATGGCAGCTTGTGGGCCACTGAGGAATAAACTGTACCCCTCAGGCTCCAGTTACTTTGCTTTCCTGCTCCTGTGGCCAGAGTCCCCAGGCTCCTCCTTCAACTACCAGTACCTGACCTAACCCTGGGGAGAGGGGTATAGCCCATGAAGCTAAAGGAGACCATGGTCAGAAGGCTCCACAGAAGCAGGGGAACCCCAAGTACCCCATGGGGCAGTGGGAAGTGCTCTCCACGTGGCAGGGAGCAGAGAAAATGCATGGTATGGTATAATAAACCCTCTGCAGCATGAAAAGTGCTCACATGGTGTATCAAGTGCCCTACGGTACAAGGGGAGGGGTCACATGACAGCACGCAGCTTGCAGCACAGCATGAAGCCCAGGGGCATGCACTTGGAAACTGGACAGCCCTGACTTAGCCTATTAAAAGGTGCCACACTGCTCCACCTTCTACCTAACTTTTAGACTAATGCAACTAATTATTTCTGTTGATCACATTAGACTTAGACCAGTACAAAAAACTGTCCATATGGGCTTCTGTACTGATCTAAAAGCATACCTTTAAACTGGTATATTCTATACTCAGATTTGGCTTTGATCCACAATAATCTAGGTCAAATACAGACAAAAGCTATGTAATAATAATAAAAAAAGATAACTATTCCACAATATATGATTACAAATGAACAGAAAAGAGGGTTCCACTCCAGTAATCACAGATGCAAAATGAAAGTCTTACTTATCCACAGAAAACTCTCCTCCTTCACCCTTCTCATCAGCAGGCTTATCAAATCGGCGCTCACGTGGAGGTCGTCTCTCCTGCCTCCTGTCAATGGGTTTGCCTTCACCCTGAGGCTGCTGCTGCTGTTGATCGGGCCTTCTGCCAATTCGTCTTATCCCTAAAATAGTAGGACAACAATCTGCATCAGCAAGTTGATGAAGCAACTCATTAAAAGAAATTGTAACTCTATCACAAAGCACAAGCCAATACAGAACTGACCATTTAGATTTTTCTTCCAAATCTCCTGGTGACCAAGCACTCTGGGAGTATTACCTTTTACAAATAAAGATAATATTTATCATTTTACCCCAATTTGAATTCCTTTTACTTTTACTCAACTCTTTGAGTGTGTGTATTACACAGGAGGACAAACAGCTACATGAATAAAACATGTGACAAGACTATGGAAAAGAGCTGTTGATTTTTTAAAGAACACAACCTCAGATTAACAATGTTTAAAAAAATCGTAGATATGAACAGTGACACTGTTTTGGTGACAATTATACTTAGTATCTTATTCATCAGGTTCACCAGAACTCTTAAGCCAGGCAGCTAAGGTACAGAAACATCAAAGTGGCTTTTGAACATCTTTGTGCTCCACCTGCATTCATTCTAGGCCAGATTCAAGGATGAGCAATTCCCAGTGTGCTTTGGCCAGGTACACTCCAGCCACAGATTATTTAGTCTCTGCATCACCAAAATGCAGCAGTCCATAACCTTTGCTGAGCAACACTGAACAGAACAAAGTAGACAGCATCATACTTTTGTTTCCTCAGGCAATTTCATTTTCCACTTTCTAATTTCTTGTGGCCATAACACTGGAGGGTCTCGTAGGCAACATGTCCATAAGCCAGAAGTGAGTACCACTGCCACACTGACTAGAGCTTCAATCATACACCAGGATACCTTTAAGCTAAATGCTATACAAATTTAGCTGCCCACTCCAGCAAACAGCATGTATGCTTACTCCCTGACAGACAACATTCACTCAAACCATTTGTCCATGAATGCCATCTTTTGAAACAGCCTATGTTATTGGAATAGCACAAGTTTTTTGGT